CCAATATATTAGTGCCTGGACTTACTGGTGCTGTTGAATATCCTATTTGACTTGTACCTTTACAGCCTAGGCATGATGTGTCTAAACCATGTGAGGTTCACTCTTTGCATGTTTCTTTTTATCTCCAAGGCAGAATGCTCTCGCTGCATGTTAACGGTCTGTTAGTAATTTCTTTTACTGCCAAATTCCTGTCCATCCCTTCTCTAATGTGGATGCCACCAAATCGTAATTTTTTTTTGGTTTTGGATTTTAACAGGTGCCCAACTGGCTTCAAATGTGGAATCAACTACCAGCCTCCTACAGTAGTACCTGGGGGTGATCTGGCCAAGGTGCAACGAGCTGTCTGCATGATCAGTAATAATACTGCTGTTGCTGAGGTGTTCTCACGCATTGACCACAAATTTGATCTCATGTATGCTAAGAGGGCATTTGTCCACTGGTATGTTGGTGAAGGCATGGAAGAGGGAGAGTTCTCTGAAGCCCGTGAAGATTTAGCTGCGCTTGAAAAGGATTACGAGGAAGTGGGTGCTGAAGGAGTTGATGATGAGGAAGACGGTGATGAATATTGATGTAGACCATCTTTGAAGACAGGGTTCGGAGTGTCGGCCTAGTGCCTTGCATGTGTTTTTGTTGTAGTTTGCTGTCTTGTATAACTTCTCATATCAGTTGTCTACATTGTAGTTTGCCATTCCTTTGCATTCATGTCCAAATATATTTACTATGCTGAACAGCGATTGATCATATGATCGTATAATCTCTCCATTATGATCCTTTATCAAGTAATTTGTAGATGTTCAACAAAGAATGAGATTCTTGATGCAGCAACGGTGAACCCTTGAAAGCTCAAGTCTATACTTATTTATTTATTTATTCGAGAGTGAGAGAAAGGTGATTTATTTAAGAGATATTGTATTATAAAAACAGCACTAAGTGCTTATGTAACTACGGGTTGAGCAAAACATTAAAAAGAAGTCCCTTTCAGTTTTCGGACTGGTAGTTGAAAATAGTTAGCGCTTGCAAAGTCTTTGAAAAATAATCACTGCAGCACAAAAAGTTCTAGCATAATATACTGGAGATTGGTGCACCTGTGTATGAACTTCAACACACGAAAAGTTCCAGCATAATATACTGGAGATTGGAGCACCTGTGTATGAATTTTTAGCATATTATGCTGGAACTCTAGTATATTATGTTGGAAGTTCACATGTAGAAAATTCAAACTCCAGTATATTATGCTGGAATATTTTTCAGATTTTAAACAGTATTTCCGTTCAGATTTATCTTTACATAAAACGTGGCTAAATTTCAATTACTTTTGAAACTGTGGCTATTTTTGAATTTCACCCGTCCCTTTCACATCTTATAGGGATTCTAAGATGCTAAGAATTGATTCTGCATCATTTACAAACTCCTCCCTACAACAAAAAGAGAACAAAAGTATACAAATAACTTTGATCTGTTGGACTGTGTTTGCCTAATCTTCAAAAACTTCTGTTGGGAAACTCAACTCTTGATAATGAAGTATCAAGACTTGATTTTGTTTGGTAGTTTCCTCGGATAGTAGAGTAAACAGGCAAAGGTACCATCAAACATTAGTAAATAGCAAGTTTACGAGGACGACTAATCTCACATTAAAAATATATAGACATCCATTCTACATCGATAAATTAAACACAGTATCCTCCTCTTATAGACAATGTAGAGAATTAGGCTTCTTCTGAACTCTTTGTGCGATCATGGAAGTAATTGTGAACAACTAATTTTTTACCACACCGAATTCCATACTATTTTGATGTAAATAGTTTTTTTTAGGTCTTCGTGATACTTTAAACTTTTGTCTTACTTTTAGTAGAGTTTATTTAAGAAAATTAAAAACTACAAAATAAATATAAACATTCTTAGAATACATATTTTATTTCTATTTGTAAAGGAAAAAAGAAAATCTACAAACAATATATGGTTTCTTTTAATTAGAATTTTAATAAGCAACTTATGGTATCTTTTCTTAGTATTATTTAAAATACATGTAAATATTTAATTTTTCTATATTGTAAGAAATGTTGGTTAATCTTCTTATATTTTTAATAATTTAATTTATCTTTTAAAATAAAAGACAAAAAAAAGTGATGTCAAAAGAGAAAAGTTTGCTATCTCAAAAATCTGATTTGAATAAGCTATCAAACCCAACTTCCCTCAATCCCTTACGTACTCAACTCCCTCACAACTAACCCCACTATTTCCTCCTCTCAACCCCATTCCCCAACTCCCTAACGTCAAAAGTCTCAACCCCCATATCCTTTATTTATCCTTTTTAAATATTTAGAAAGCAAAAAGGTTTGATTTGGAAAGAAAAAAGTTTTATTGAAAAGCAATTTCTTTCTGTGTTAGTTTGAGATTCCTTTTAAGTCTTCATAATTAATTAAGAAAATTAAGACAGAGTTTGATGACGATGGAGCTTAACTGAAATTCAAGGTCGAAATTCGAGGTTCAATTCGTGATTCTGGTGGTGGTTAGCTTTGGTCCGGAAGAGTTTGATCACCAGAGTTTCATTTTTAAACCTTGCTCTCCAAGCAAAGAATTATATTCACTGATTTTCTTTTATTAATATTGAAAAGCTTCTTAAGGTTTATTACTTCTTCTCTTTTTCTTAACATTAATTAATTTAGCATTTGTTTATTTTTGTGATGTGGTTGAAGTAGAGATTCATGTAATGATTTGTTAAAATCTTATTAGTTAGTTCCATGCTTTTAGTCTAATGCATGAAATTTTCTGTTTTTTTTTTTTTTTTTTTTGGTGAATTCAAAACCAACTGCCAAACATGCTAAATGGATATAGTTGCATACTTTTACTATTTGAGTTCTACTTAGAAAAGGCATCAATTTAAGAAGTAACGTGGAGAATAACTTTGACATCGGAAAAGGTTTGGGACTAAATCTAGTTGAAATTTTAAAAGATAAATCGGATATGTAATTATTTGAGGTGATTTGATCGGTTGAATCTTTAGTTGGTTCTCCTACAAATTTTGGATCTCTCTTCTCCATATTAATTGTCTAGTATTAGGATTTATTTTAAAGATTGTCCAGTTAAAATAAAATAAAAGTCCATTACTCTATCTAAATTATATCTACTTTTATTTGAAGCAAAAATATTCCTAAACCGTACTCTATCCACTGTTAGAGTCAAACTAGTTTAGAGGTAAAAAATAGTTTTCTTGCTAAAATGTTAAATTTGAAAGAGAATATTCACAGTATGCTCTTGTCTTTCTATTTTCTTCAACATAGGTAAAGAATATATGTGTAGATGTTTCCATAAGTCCTTTTTAAAATCATCAACTTTGCATGTAAAAAAAAATTATTTTTGTTCAATGTAGAAATTCACGTAAAATTTTGTATAGTAACTTTTGTGCAAATTGGCAAGCTGTAGTAGAAGATGAAGTAGTAATTAGTATATAGTTGTTGTGAATTCCTTCTAGTATGATAGATTGAATATTCTGTATGTGCTTTAACTTTAAGATGATTCAGCTAGTTCGTTTTACTTCTTTATTTAATTTTTACTTTTAAATATTTAAAAAAATACTAAAAATATATAATTAAATATCTCGAAACTGAAAGAGACAAAATAAATGGAATACTCTAAAATGTTAGAAATTTTTTAGATATTATTTACATGTTAGCCCATCTGTTCACATCCGAACCTTGGATTGATATACTTAAGTAATAAAAGGAACATGTGCGCATTCCCGAGTCGTGATACCTTTAAATATAAAATAAATATGTTTTAACCATGTGTACATTCCGTACCTTGGTTTAACATCTAATTTCAAAGAAGTACCTTGTGTGCGTACCGCATCTAGGTCATAGTAATTAATCAATAATTAATTAGGCGGTAATAGGCAAATCATAACCAATAAAATACAAGAATAATCAAGAATTGATTTAAGCCTTACATTAGTCAATAAAGCGACCGTGCTAGAACCACGGGACTCGAGGGTTCCTTACACCTTCCCCGGTCAACAGAATTCCTTACTCAGTCTTCTGTTTTTGTAGACCATAAATTAGGAGTCAAATCTTCCTTTTGATTGGGGATTCAATAAAAGGTGGCTTGGAACACCAAAAATTCAATTCCAAATGGCGACTGTAAATAATAAACAATCCCTTTTCAAAACGTCACTTTAATTGGAAAAACTCTTCTAAGTCAACCTCGTAATAGGGTTGTGTGGGGAAAAAAAAAGAGGTGTGATAGCAATGAAAAAGAAAAAGTTATGTAGTTGGACCATCTGTTCTATCCGTTCGAGTTTTGCTTCTCTAGAGAAGATGAGAGGCTAAAAATGAATGGATGAGCGAAAGGTGTCATGCGGAGGTAATTTTGAGCCTGTCGGCGCGCACCAACCCAGAAAAAAGGTCTCCCCTATCCTTCAAAGCCTAATGGCTTTCCAGATTCTTTTTACATAGAAAATATTGTTGGGATTCCAAAAACTTGTAGCTGGTCACCTTAGGTGACGTTACCTGATGACTATCATTAATTAAATTCAGCTAACCAAAAATCTGTCGGCTCTATTATTGCTGAATATTTGCAAAGATGGATGTTCTACGGTATTTATATTTGACTAAATCCAGCATATCTGACTCAACTTTACTTGCGGTGGAAAAGAACTTATTCACGTCAGTTTTCTTGTGGCAAATCTGCATCTCGCAATACTCAATATTCCATAACTGAAGCGACTTCTCAGGAAGCTGTTCAAGTTTTAGCAAAAGCGACTCTTAGATTCAAGTTTTGGAAACATTAATAGGCCCACTGAATCATGGATTCAGAAAATACAATTACCAAAACTCATTTTCGTAATAAGAAGCGAATAAGTAACGTAATAAGTACTATATTTTAAGTAGTACTTTACCTTCATCATCCAAACAACGAAAGCAAATAATCTGGTGGAACTTTTCTAGTCCACCATGCACATCTACTTTTCTATTACCATTAAAATCAAGTCATAACCAAGGCTGTAATGGGCATTGAGTGACATTTATACTATCACTTGCTTAAGTATCAACCAGCTAATTCACATTTAACTTTGTACAAGCATGTTCATGAAAATAATCATTTTAGATTATAATATCCGAAAACCTCAATCCATAACATTAAAAGTGAAAAATCCTGAACCACTTCAAAAGCATTTACAAAAATTATTGTCTTGAACGTGTGACTGAGGCTGGATCTGCAGCAAAAACATAAAAATGAATCAATTATACAGAACTCTCACAAATGAAAGATTACAGTGAAGTAGAAAGTAATACTAAAGTAGTATCCCCACCTCCTCATCCCCCCCAAAAAAAAAAAGATTCTAACAGAAGTTCTTTGTAGTCATCTATGAATGTAACCGAAATTCTGTTCAGACATAGCTAATTCTCTTATTATCATGCAACACAGGTAGTGTTCTTTAAATTGCGCGGCCTAATTTTAGCCAATCATTACATGTAATAAACGTTAACCTTCTTTTTTTAGAAGTGAGAGATTTGTTGTTTGCAGTTGCGTAACTCGGTGGACACTAGGCCACTCTACCCTTCTCCACTTAAATAGACCAGACTTGGTTCACCAGCAGGATTAGAATCCGTGACGTGCACCTATGATACATCATGCATTGTACTACCTTTACTGTTGAACCAAAGCCCTGTGGCTTTGCGTTACCCTTTTCAATTCAATTGAATCAATTTATATACCTGCACATCTTCTTACCAAGAAAATAATCATCCTTCAGCATTTGTTTCTTTCTGTTAATCTATGAGATTATTTCAGATACCTTTCAAATAAGTAAATTTAATACGATATGACTGTTTATACTTTATACTCCATAATCTTTCTTCTTTGACTTACTTTTCAGTTTTGTCTGTAGCTCCTTTCTATAAAACTTCTAGGAAAATGAATCATAAAGCAAGGGGGAAAATGGATATTCCATGGAAGTAAAGCTAGCTTTATTGGATGTTAATCTAAGTTCTCCTAATTGATGACTAAATGGTTTATCTTAGTTTTTGCCTCAAGTTTTCATTTGTATATCATTTAGCTAGAATGGATTCTTATGACCACTTTGTTAAACCTGAAATTTAAGTTATGGAAGCTTGCAGATGATTTTCTCAAAATAACCATCATCGGCCTCATGGCAGAACAATGTCACCTAAAATCTCTTTTTGATATTTTCCCTTTCAATTTCTTACTACCATATTTCCTAATTAGATACCAAGTTACTTAACAGAGCCCTCCTCTAAAAAGAACCCAAATAAAACAGGACACAATTGTTCACTCTTCAGGAAACAGAACCGCATGCAATCCCCAAAAAGTAGCAAAGGTATCTTACAACATATCACGGGTTCTTTCGTGCCCAATGCACAAAAATGACACCTGAGACCCAAAGTAAATTTTATGATTGAATTCCAAGAGATGGAAAAAGGTTACCAATAGAATCAATCGCCAGCAAAACCTTCATACTGCAAGCTATCTGATACATTGGTTAACCTCTCAATGTCTCCTGAAAGCAAGACATGCAGCATTAGTAACCCAAAACAATAAATAAAATACCAGTAATCTGACCTTGATGCTGTACCTACCATTTGGATCAAGCAAGTTGCCTGTGTCTGTTGCTAGAAAGGGAGTCCTAGAGTAGCTCTCTAGTATATCTGAACATGGTGGGAAGAGATTAAGATGATTAGACCCGGAACTTGGAAAATGGAAACAAAAAAAAATGACTGGAAAAGTTACAAAGAGCAGGGGAGATGTAGATTTACCAGAACTATTAGAGAAGTCAGCTGACAAGTCTGAGAGACCAAAATTTTGAGGAATTTCCCCTAAAAATCCAAATGAAGTGGTGTCAGCATCTGGAAGTCTGTTAAGAGGTTGTGAGTTCGACTGCATGCTATTAACTGACGAAATAGATGCACCACCCAGTGCAGAACGTGACTCCAAGAAACTGCTATGAGCACCAATATTGAAATGAGAATTGTTAGCATAGTTCGGTTCTGTCTTAATAATCTTTCCCTCCAATGTTCGTCTCATCCCCATATTCGAGGTTTGGGCCGACAAGATATTTGGAGTGACATTAATCTTCCTGCTTTGTGCAGAAACATCATCTGCGGTTTGCATGCAGGAAAGAACTGCCGAGCTGCAATTACTGAAAGTGTTGGGTAAGCTGGTAGGAATTGACTCATGCATGTGTTCAGCCTTTGAAGTATATCCAACATTTTCTACAGCACGGCATGCCAAATTTTGATGAACTGTAGCAAGGCGGGAATAATTTAACATTAGAAGGAGACAGCTACCTGAATGCAGGTTTTGTGAGAACACATTTAGCAGCACAAATAAGCAAAAAAAAGTACATAAAAAATGGACATCAATTTGGATATGTTTAATCTTATCTATTAAAGAAATCAACTAGGTATGTTTAGACAGGAACAGCAGCAGTCCACTCCAGTAGAGAACAGTACTCTCCATGCTTGTTGCACATTATTGAAACAATTGACACACAAACAGCTGCTCAAAATTCCACATGTATCAGAGTTTTGCATAATAGTAAACTCAGTGGATCAGCAGAGATATCGCAGGACATAACAAGCTAAATACATCACTTCTTGACAGCTTTCTGCATTTCTGGTGAACTACCAGATTAGGAAGCAAGCTTGCTGTAGACACAAGGAAGAAAAGAAAATGGGACGAGCAATTAGATTTCTTCAGGTATAATCAGAGATTCTTCTTGAAACGATCCTCCCCTCTAGCAGGTAAACTCATCCTCTGCACACACCCACACCCACATATAGGGGTGTTCATAAAAACCCGAAAAACCGAACCAAACCGAAAACCAAACCAAACCGACCAAAAAAACCGATACTTTTTGGTTTGGTTTGGTTTTGGTTTTGAATTTTAAAAACCGATCAAATTTGGTTTGGTTTTGGTTTTAATCAGAAAAAAACCAAACCAAACCGACTATATGAGTAGCTATTCAAATTTATTATTACACCTATATATATGTATATTGTTATACAAAGTTTCAAAAAATTTATGGTAAATGTTAATAGTTTGCACATTTAATATAGTTCTTTACCTTTACATTCTAGTTTGATTGGTAGTTTTCTTTTGTTTAGTGTAAGAATACATTTCGTGTTAAAAATAATATATTTTTAATTGAGTCCTTAAATTATTCATCACTATTTGATTCAATTATCATCAATATATCTTGGTAAATAATAGATTTCTCAAAGGGCAATTGATTTGATAGTGTTACATTGAAAATGTATATGTGTTTGGTAGCGTATGTCATATATTTAAGAAAAAACAGACAAATAACCGAAAAAACCAAAAAACTGACATAAATCGAATCGAGAAAAACCGACTTAATTGGTTTGGTTTGGTTCTAATATTTGAAAAACCGACTTACTTGGTTTGGTTTCTTTTTAGGGAAAAACCGATCCAAACCGAACCATGAACACCCCTACCCACATAATATGTAACTTCAAGATAACCGGCACCATCGACCTCCCCCTCTAGCTCAAACAAAATCCCTATACCATTTACTTTATAAACAAAAAAATTAACATGGAGAAACTACTGAAACATTTAAACATGTCTATGCTTTTGAAGAAGACATTATAGAGCACATTAGGTAAGGGTGCAGAAGTGAAAATCCTGACTTGGAATTTGAATAACTCATGAAATCATGCAATAAAAAATCCAGACTCAGCAAGCCAATTATGAACTGTGCTAACGAAAAAACTGTATGATTCCCAAATTCAACCCCACCCTTACCACCCTAAGCCACTATATATCACATTCCTACTTTTACACCAGATTATCCCCGATACTAACATGAAAAAATGAATTCCTCGAGCAGTACATTACATTGTTCGGGATCTGAAAGGAAAAGAAAAATGTTTATTTGTTCAAAAGAATTTGAGCACCCAAAACGTTAGGCCGATGGTGGAGTAAACCAAGACCTTTTCTTGAAAAGGTAAGGTAAATTTACAAATCCAGCACCAAGAAAGTGCTGTTGTAACCTTTTATAATTAGCAGAGGCACCAAAAAGCAAAAATAAGCCCCCAAAACTAACCCTGTAATGATTCTAGCACCAATAGAACTATTTCAGGTATAGTAATCAACCAAAGTAAGCTTCCTCTTCCTGACTTTCTTCCTGTACCAGCATCTCAACAAGTCAGTCGTGGACCTTGGCATAACCCACTTCAACCCAATCATATTCAAGAAAAGCAGCCACAGTTGAGCAGTCACTTGACAATGCAAAAACAACTGACGAGTCCTTTCTGCTTGTATCCCGCAGAGAAAACATCTGCTGGTTAAAATGATACCTCTCTTATGCAAATTTTCGTTTGTGTGGCAAGCTTCATTGCTCACTGTCCATGTGAAACAAGCGACTTTTATTTGAGTAACCCAAGACCTTGATAAACCCTCTTTGGAAGCCCTTATAAAATACATATGGGACAACAAGTACTCTTGCGCACGTCACCTGATTTTGAGTCCACACATAAGCTTAATTTACAAGTGAAATGGACTTGCCAAAGGTTGGCTCTGATACCATATGAAGAATTTGAGCATCTAACCCAAAACCTTAAAAGGCAATGAGTTGAATAGCCCAAAACCTATATAAACTCCTCTAGAAGACTTTAGACAACCCATGTGGGAGAAGTATATAACTCAACTAAATTGGTGCATTTTGGAATAGATTTGATTTAGTATCACTATACATGTAGGTCACCCTCCCCTTCTCTTATTCCCATAAGAGTAGAGTCCGCTCATTTTTCTGAGTAACACTATAATTATAGATGAAATATTGGTCCCTCTTGGCTTCACTAGCCCCCTCTCCCTCGCAGTACCTATGAAACATTAACCGCCTGACAGTGATTAAAACTTAGGCACTGGGATTAAGCATTTGTTCAATACTGAAGTTTCCAGCTTAGCAGAAAATTGCGATTTGCTAATGCTTTCAACAAATAATTTTTCTCAAGTGCAAAAGTATTGAAAAGTTGGAAACAAACTCTCTACCTTCACAAGGTAGCAGTGGTTTGCGTACACTACCCTCCCCAGACCCCACTTGTGGGATTACACTGGGTTTGTTGTTGTTGTTGTTGTTATTGCAAAAGTATTGAAAAGCTAGACCTGTAGGAGAGTCTCAAAATCTTGAAGCAGAAAGAGCTAAGATGTTCAAGGATAGACAAGAAATCAATACACTCCAAGTATCAACCAGGTAAAATGACCACATCCATAAATATGATACCCATTATTCATAGGTAGAGAAGGAATTATACTTGGTAATTGATGAGTCATCTTAACCTGTTCTGCAAGCAACTTGTTGAATTCCATTATTTGCTCTTTCACCATCAGTTTCAGGTGATACGCCTGGAAAAATTCTTGATTTTCTTCTTCCAGTTTCAGCCAAACTGCAAGCCATGAGATGATTGTAACGATAGAGTAAGAAATGATCACATAACCTGTGAAATTGGTAAATCACTAAATCCACACGTGCAACACTGCTAAATGATGACAGCAACATTATATAACTATCAGATTGCAGAACCACTAACCTAACTTCAGCTATTGTTCAATGGTTGAAGACACCAAGATGGAGGAAAACTGTATTCCTTGAAATTTAGATAACATACCAAGTTCAGTAAATCCCGGCTCTATCTTGTCCTGAATGAAGAGAGTTTCCAGAACTTCTCTCTGACTCATGTAATGCCGAAGACACTGCTCTATTCGATTTTGCACCTGACATTAGCTTAAACATTCAATAAATATTTTCCCCTGCAGTTGTGCAGCTATCGTGATTATTCATTTAGGAACACCGTCAATCATCATAATCTCACTTAGACAAGCCGGTTTAAGATACCGTCAATCATCATAATCTCACATAGACAAGCCGGTTTAAGATGACAATGAGCAAAATTCAGTTCAGTAACAACTAATTTACCATTTCAATCAAAGTTTTCCTCAGTGTCACACCAATCTCTCTATAGCTGAAATATTGTTACTTGTATTTGATCCAGTCAAAGCCCAAGAGCAACAAGAATTTGAACAAACAAGCAGATTGAAGGAAAAGGTTGCCTTGGGAAAAAGAAGAAAAAGAAATATTTGCAAAAAAAGTCAAATTAAGTTTTCTGGGCAGCTAAGGAGCACTCTGGCATCAAATAATAAGTTGTTCACAACAACTTAGTCTCTAATAATTGACTATATAGCTAAAAAAAA